CGACTGCACCCACATTGCTATAGTAAAACCAGCTGAAGAAGAGCATGCTTTCTATAACAGAAAAGGATATCATTCCTTAAACATTCAAATGGTTTGTATTTAAATCTAGAAATATTATTTCTGCTTTCATAACTACCAATTTTATTTGATACTACATAAAATTACATTTTCAGGTATGTGATCATAATTTAAAAATAATAAACATAAATGCTAAGTTTGGTGGAGCAACACGATTCCCACATATGGTCATCGAGTCTCGTAGAACCCTATATGCGTCACCTTCATGAAAATGGTGAACATGTTTGGTTACTTGGTAAGTAAGATATTATAAGAGATAAGAGTAAGATATTTATAAGAGACTATATATATTTAATGGTATATATATATATATATATATATATATATATATATATATATATATATATATATACCATTAAATATATACAAGTAGTATAACATAGGTAAGTATGCTTTAAATCTTTTCTCATTCATAACTTCTTGCTTTCAGGGGATTCTGGTTATCCACAACGCCCTTGGCTTATGACTCCAATATTAAATTCTCCACATGGGTCTCGAGAGGAATTGTACACCACTCGTCATGTACAAGCCATGACATGTATTGAGCGCTGCTTCGAATTACTTAAAACACGTTGGAGGTGTTTGCTTCGTGACAGGGTCCTTCATTATCATCCCAACGTTGCCAGCAAAATAACACTTGCATGTTGTGTGCTACACAACATCTCGCTTCATGCACACTTGCCAGCTCCAAGTGATATCCCTGTTACTACTGTAGATACACAAACCACCCAAATCACCACCACAGAGTATCGAAATGAATTAATCCGAGGCAGGGCAATGCTCAATTATTTAATAAGTAGATTGTAGATGTAGTTAAGTATCTATATTTATTAATTATTTAGCATTATAGCATATATATAATTGTTCAACTGTGCCAATATTTGTACAGAGTTGTTAAGTATTAAGTATTGTTAGTTGTATAGACAAATAGTAATGTATAAAATTTGACTAAATGTTTCATTTGTTGCTTGTTTGGAAAAGTAGAGTAATGTGGTGTGACTATTCATTTTACAAGTTTTTTACTACCTTGCAATGTTTGTATGTTAGATCTCACAACTTTTTGTTAGTTTTTGGTGAGATTGTTTATAAAACATTGATTAATAAAATAGTCTACATAATTATAGAGATGACATTTTAATTTTTTTTTATTGTGTTTCACCATTCACCTGTGCTAGTCCTAACTTAATTGAGGTCAGCGGCGTATGTGGTACTTTCCTTTCATACTCTTTCAGCCATCATCTTAGTATCTACACTCGCACCCCATTCTGGATGTGTTATTAAAATAAAAAATAGTCAAAACAAGTGTTATAATAATAATAATTGTTTATTGCCTCTAAAAACACACAGTTACATAAGGTTAAAACAAAAGAATATTATAATTATTTGAGACAAAAGGAGACGGCTCAGCTTTGTCTGTAACGAGATACAGATCTGGTACAGAGCTGTTTTTCAGCCGCTCCCTCCTCCCTGAGGTGTTGTGCGGGAGTCCAAAGTTGCAGGCTCCCCGTTTACCTGACTTATACTTAAAAACTAAACTACGCACAAGGTAATTAAATGTGATAATAAATTGCAAATACAAAAAAAAGACTAAAAACATTAAAGACAAAATAAAACATTTAAAAATATGCATAAAAACCACCATTACAAAATAAACTAACACCAGATTAAATTAAAAAAAAATGTAATATACATAACCAACTCTTTTATTTTATTAGAACTACTTGAATAATAACTATCTAGGTACATACACTGAACTATCTACTTATTAAATAACAATATTAAACTTTAAATAAACTAAAAATAGTATCAGTACTAAAAATAAATCTTATTAGTACTAAATTTAAAAGTCTTTAAAGCTGTTGAAATTACAGTATTTCTAACATTATCTTAAACTAGTTTTTATGGACGAATTTCAATATTAGCAGATATCTAACCATGAGGTCTCGGATTTGATCCCCGGGTTGGGCAGTATTATTGCGTTTTTCCATTAGAAATTTCTTCATATTAGCTTGGAGTCGGATTTTGTGTATCTCTTATTGCTCCGTATTATCCTTACTCCGATAGTGGTCAAACCACGCTTGCGCAATGTCTGCAAACATGCGTAACACTTGATTATGCTCGTGGTCAACCTCTATCCTTAGGGTTTCCAGCTCATACAGCTGCCTGTCTCGTGTCTCCTCCTGCCGAAGACGTAAATGTTCGATGACAACAAACTCACTCGTCGCTCTATCGAATAGTGTGAGTGTACGCCTCCGGCAAGCCCTTAGAGACGTTTGTGTAGGGGAAGCAGTTATCCCAGACCTCGGGGTTGGTGGGAATCGTCGCCTGCAGGTCGGCGGAGGGGTAGAAGGTGCAGGTTGCACTCTTGAACTCCTCATGGATTGGTGAGGGTGTGCGGTGGCTGCCAGCTGCAAGATGGTGTAGGAGTAGTGGGCGCGGGTTGTGATATTGCCACACACTCTGTAAACAAAATGAACTTGAATTCAAATACCTACTTAATAAAGTATTTATAAAATATTAAAATATTTAGTAGTATGTAGCTAGACATACGATCGGCTGTTGTGATTTCACAATCAATTGTGTCTTGTTGGTGCGTGGCTCAGTTGGTGGTGGACTCAGGGCCAGAGTTGGCGAGGAGATAACTTGTGATAGTCCCTGCAAAAAATGACTTGAAATCTTAATTTAACTAATACCTAACCATAACATATCATATAAAACCTCTTGTGACATTACTCATTTCATTAAAGTAGGTACTAGGCATTTGATTAATTTTCCATTTGACTATTTTAATTAATTATATGTTATTTTATTAATTAAATACATGTTTTAAATATTCAAGTGATCAGTTAACCCTGAATTTTAAATGAAGAAGTGCGATACTTACAAAGCCTTGTTCCTGAATGCTTGGCAGACCATCCACAGTCAAATTCCCCATGATGGCCAACACCCTCTCCTCAAAAGCCGTGAGGGTTTGGCGAATACTCTTCTCACAACCAGTACCACTTGCATGACGCCTTATTAGCGATGCTTTTGTTTTTGTTTTAGACTTCCAGTCATCCCATACCTTCGAAATTAATTAAGCAATATGTAGGAAAGTTAGGTAATAAGTAATAATAGTGTATATTAATAGTAAATGGTTAATATAAATAAAGTAAAGCATAAAGTGATTATTACCATATATAGCTGTTGAAATTGTTACCTTTTTCCATTTGTCTGCCGATTTATTTACTCCACCACCGATGGAATTTAATATTACCGCCAACACGCACCACAGCCGCTCGGATTTCAAGCGCCCTTGAGGCCCACATCGGGGATTGGATAGATCGCCGTGACTGCAATTGAACAAACAATAGGGCAATAAGCAACGGATTGTTAACATCACTTCATTGTTTACATTGAGCATACTCAAATCATTTGAATTTAATTAAGTTCATGGTTTAGATGAATACTTTTTAACCTTTCCATGAACTCCAAAAGGGTCGAAAATTGTTGACCACTGGCTCGCACTCGTGGATCCGTTGTAATTATCCTTAAAAACGGAAAAAAGCTTGTCAGTTCCCGCTTGTTTATCATTATAAATATGTAATATACTCACAATCATTGATATCCAGGTAACTTGTGTAATTTTGGCACTCACAATAATTTTACGAAGTTAAGAAACTTACCTTTGAATTCTTTATTTAACTTGTTAATTCGAAACGCCAATAACTTCACTTTCACGGAGCAGACTTTAATCTAACGTTAACAAGTACACTTTGTTTCACAACCTAATAAGAAGTTGTTTCTTAATTTGTTTATATTTAGCGCGCCTTGAATTTGACGTTTCATTTCGAGACCATAGTCAAGAAGTTGTTTTTTATCGAAAGAACGTTTCGACTTAGCGTTAGGTTTGCCAATGTCACTTTGTCTACCACTTGTCGTTCGATATCGCTAAGACGAAATCGATTTTCGAAATGGATTAGACACGGAGCGAATGCCACTTATCTAGGCCCTCTGAGCAGTTGCCTTTAAAAGATAGGGGAAAACATAACTTTTACTGACAATAGTGCTTCAGTGTTTTCCGATACAATGTGGAAAAAGGCCTATAAATCAGCTCAGCGTGGTTTTAACATTGTCAAGGATTGGCTAACAGAAAATGGTCTTATGCTCAATGTTGATAAAACAAAGCTTATAACATTTAGTACTCAGTCCCCAACATTACCTTCTAATCTTAAAATAATATCCCACAATCATTCTGATAACATTCTATCTCCCAAAACAATCTGCGACTGTCCTAAACTAGATTTCTATGGTCCATTACGTAAAATATCTGGGCCCATTATCTAAAATAAACATTGATGATAGACTCACTTTCAATCTTCATGTAAGCTTGTTTCTAGTAGGGTTCGAAAATTTATATTTTTGTTTAAACACCTCAGAGACGTTGTTGAACCTAATGTTATTAAAATGATTTACTTTGCACTTTGCCAATCAATGCTTAGCTACTAATATTTCTATTTGGGGTGGAGCCCCAAAGATCAGCATGATTTTAACTCTGCATGCTCAAAGGGCAGTGCACAAAGTAAGCACTTTTAAAAGTTTCCGCATCGGCAAATTATATGAAGTTATGACAGTGAGACAACTTTTTATACTATACAAATTAAGATTCCTTGGATAATTGGGTACCAGAAGGGCAGGCAGGAGTAAGTTACTAATCTCTTCGGATGAAGCACCTCATGTAATTATGATAGAACTTCACTTAAGCTAAGTTTGTTTAACCATCAATTATTCATGTCTTAATAGCATAAAAATAACCCTCTGAGCTTAATAGAAACCAGTTATATCAGTATTACAGACATACCCTTATATAATAGAAGGGTATGTCTGTAATACTCTGTAATACAGGGTAATTAAAAAAAAACATTGTTGTGAACAATCCTTACCCACTCTCCTGGCCTAATATCAGCTGATGATCCGAGCTTCATAGTGGGTAGGTTCTTTACTGGTATCCGCAATGTTGCCAAATCTGATTTTAAATCACAATCCTCAACTATAGCTTTGTGTATGGAGCCATCCTTAAAAACAAATGACAAGTATTAAAAATAGAGACATCCAACTCTTTTTAAATTCCCACAGATGTTTTAAAAGGGAGACAGAGGAATTAAAACACAAAATCTGCACACACTCTCGCAAGCATATTATTTTCTAAAGACAACAGTATAATATACATTTCCTGCTTGACACGGGACTACCAAGTGCGAACAGTAGTCTGCCTGTAAGCATTAGATTTAGTGAAAATTTGTAACTCCAGATGGTCTCAAAAATTAATTTGGTTATCCTGGTTTGTATTCCTCTGTCGACTCTTACGACACCCACAGGACAATGTGGTGATTGGATATTCTTACATTGCAACTACATGGTTAGTGATCATTTCAGTGTTTTACATTTGGAAAGTTTTATTACTAGTTTAACTTTTTTAATTTTCAACGCTTGATACCTAACAACTGGTAAAATTTAAAATTTTGTACAACCAACCTCAATATAGATAAAATATATTAAAAAAAACTAAAAACACAGGCTTTTGTAGATAACCGAACTAAAAATTAGGAAATAATTTTCAATAAGTTTAAAATAAGAAAATAGTGATTAACATAAAAAAATCTAAAAAATCGTGGGGAGCTTTTTCAGACATTTTTAAGATGATGCTAATTTTATAAATATCCACAAAAATATTTACAACAAATGACATCAAACACGATTGCAAAAATTACGTTAAGTTATTTCATGTAATAAGTATGTTATGCTAGAAGTTATGGTTCAAAATTCATTAAAGAAATTATACTTCATCCTTGCTTTCATAATATGAAAAAAACGTGTGGGTATATTACTCACCATCAATTTAACTTCGACAATAGCGTTCGGTTTGTTAACAACCACATGAGCGTTTGTCAAGATTAAACCATCTTCCTTCACAATGAATCCCGAGCCATTGGATAGCGTAATCGGCTTTCCAGTAAACAAATCAAATCTTCTACCATCTTTGATCTCTATATACACTACAGATGGAGCTGAAACAGCTACGACATCCGCTATAAAGTTATATTTTTCTCTTATACCTTTTAAACTATCATTTACAATCTTTGCAGCAGATAATTTCTCCTTAAAACTTGCATAACCTATTACACCAACAGCCACTGCTAACATACCCCTTATGGTGTAATTACTGTCCTTTTCTTTGTTGTAATGAGAAAATGTTGTAAGAGTGCAGTAGGAACATCTATAATTTATATTAACTAAAGGTTTATTATTTAAAAATCTCACTATAGGCCGAATTAATGACATTTTGATAACGCACTTCCAGGCGTAGGACAGTTGCCTTGAACCACAAAAATTTAATGGATGGTGGCGCCATCCATAACTTGTTTCCAAAAATAATTTGTTTATAGTTGGTCTTATGGCTTCACAGATGTCGCTACTTTGGAAAAATAAAATGAAATTTACTTACAAAATAAAAATAAGTGCACCAAAAAATTATTGGTGATTTTATTGATAAAAAATTATAATTTTAACATAAAAACACGTAATAATTATCGAATCAATCGATAAATATGACAATTATGATACTGGCAACCAGCATTTTATAATAAAATATAAAAATAAAAAATGAAATAATTGTCATATTAAATTGTCATTCCTGTAACATCGCAAATACCCTTTTTATATATTATTATCTCACAAATACAAGTGTACTTATTGAAACTATTTACCTACTTTTAATATTAAAAGTATAAATTATTTTACAAAAAAAAGTAAAAATTGTTTCAGTAAGTATGCGAATTAAAGAACATAATAGTTACATTAATATGATGTACATAATATAGCTATATATAGTGAATTAGTTCGGATTCAATTTGTAGGAGACGCTAGTAGTTCAATTTTGTCTGCAATAAAATATCGTCAGAGGGCTCTCTTTTCCTGTATATACTTATTATACTCTTTGCGCACTTCCAAAGCGCACTTTAAAGGTACTCTGTAGCGCACTTCTTGTTCTTGTGCACAAACTCAAACTATATAGTTCTTCTTCTTCTTTCTTAGTTTTATGTAGCTTGCTACATATATATTTATCTATGGTTTTATAGTTCTTGTGTTGTTGTTGTTGTTTTTATTATTTGCTAGAGAGCAGGCAAAGGAACTAAGCCATACAGCCTTTTCTTTTTTATTTTGAATATATAGAATTTTAAAGTGTAAAGGCCGGAACCAGGTCTTATTTTTCTTCTTTCCATCTCTTTAAAATCCATAAAGGCCGAAGTCAAGTCTTATTTTCTTTAATTCTTCATATTTTGAAAAACCCGTAAAGGCTAAAGCCAAGTCTTCTTTATATTATATTCTTTGTAGGTTTCAATCCGTGTAGATTTGTCAATCCAATATTTTCAAAAACAGGGATACCATATTTCATATTTCTTTTACAGTATTATGAATAAAATTGCAAAGTGCTAAATATGTCTTAGTATTCCTAAGAACATCTTGCAGGGCACGCGGGACGCTTTCTGCGTTTTCATAATCTTGTATAAGTTTTTCAATGAGTAGCAATCTTTCAATGGCGTACGCTGGGCAGTTAAATATTATATGTTCTGCAGTCTGATCTGCTTCTGTATCGCAGAAATTGCATGTTGCAGATGCTACTATTCTCATCCTGGAAAGGTGAGCGTTCAGTCGATAGTGGCAAAATCTAAGTCTGCACATTATTGTATAAAATTTTCTGCTATGATATCTCTCGTTGCGAGAAAACCAAGGAATACTTAATTCTGAATTAATTGATGCATACCAACGACCTTTTCCTGCCTCTAAAACAGCATTCCATTGCATTTTCCATTCTTCTTTTAACTGTTTTTTTTTAAATTGAATATAAATCTGTATGAGGTATTGCAACATCGGTTATCCTTTCAATATCAGCTGTAACTATACTTTTAGCTAAATGGTCTGCGCTTTCATTTCCTTGAACCCCAATATGTGACGGAGTCCATAAAAATTTTACTTCCAAATTATTTTCTTTCAATTTCCACCACAAACTTTTTATTTCATATATGATGAAAGACGTTTTAGCATCTAAAATCTTCTTCTGCCTTCAGTGCCTTCAAGACACTCATGCTATCAGAGATCAGTAACCATTTATTAGATACATGTGGGTGTTCTTCTATATATTTAAGAGCGATTAAGACAGCATAACATTCTGCAGTGTATATTCTTGCTGATGCAGGAATGGAAAGGCCACGTCCAGTTTTCAGATGAGGTATGTAAAATGCACAGGCTACTTTATTTTCAACTTTTGAAACATCTGTGTAAATTTGTCGATATTCATCATATGTAGATATAAGTTCATAAACCTCTTCTTTTCTTTTCAATTTTTTATCAATATTTATGTGTATATCACTGAATTTACGTTTTTTTTATAGAAGAGGGGGCAATCGAGCATGCGGCTCACTTGATGGTAAGTGACTACCACCACCCATGAACAACCGCAACACCAGGGGAATTGATGCGTTGAGATGCGTTGCCAGCCTTTTAGAAAGGTGTAAGCTCTTTTCTTGAAGGTTCCTAAGTTGTATCGGTCCGGAAAATTCGCTGGTGGTAATTGATTCCACAAGGAAGTTGTGTAAGGGAGAAAACTTCTTTTAAATCGCACAGTGGTTGACCGCCAATCATCCAGATGGTATGGATGGTAACGCGAGTTTTGTCGCGATGTGCGACGAAATTGAGCGGCTGGAATTAGTCAGAACAATTCCTCAGAGCACTCCCCATGATAGATGCGATAAAATACGCAAATGCAACATCTCTACGCAGTGCCAGTGTATCGAGCCGATCAGAAAGAACTCGGTCGTCGACGATACGAACCGCTCAGCGCTGGATGCGGTCAAGTGGAAGGAGCTGGTACTGGGATGCCCCGGCCCAGAGATGAGAACAGTATTCCATGTGGGGCCAAACTTGCGCTTTGTAAAGTTGCAAGCGATGTGCCGGCATGAAATACTGTCTCACTCTGCTGAGCACCCCAAGCTTTTTAGAGGCCAATTTAGCCTTCCCTTCCAAGTGACCACGAAACTGCACACTATTCGATATGTCGACTCCAAGGATTCCGATACTAGCTGAGGCAGCAAGGGGAGTGCCTTGAAACTGAGGAGATACGACAAAGGGGTTCTTTTTAGCGGTAAACGCGCAAACTTGTGTCTTCTGGGGATTGAACTGGACTAGATTTAGTCGGCCCCAATCCGAGACTTTGTTAAGCAAAGACTCGACTTCAGACACAAGTTTGTCCCGGTACTCAGCGACGTTTTCCCGAGAAATATTGGCACGGCCGGTATATAAGGCATCTCCAGTGCTATTGTCTGCATAGCAATGAATGCTACTAGTTAGTAACATACCATTGATATGCAGGAGAAACAGCGCTGGTGATAGCACGCAGCCTTGTGTAACACCAGCGTTGATAGGCTTGAAATCAGAGCATGCACCGTCTACTACGACCTTGATGCTCCGATCAGCAAGGAAACTGGTGATCCACTTGAACAATTTCTCGGGAAGCCCATAGGAAGGAAGCTTCGAAAGAAGCGCTTTGTGCCAGACCCGATCGAAGGCCTTCGCTCTGTCCAAACTAACGGCCAATGCCTCCCCCTTGGACTCTACTGCCTCCGCCTATCTATGAGTCAGATAGACTAGAAGATCACCAGCTGATCGACCTCAACGAAAACCGTACTGGCGGTCACTAATCAGCTGGTGATCCTCAAGGTACCTCATGAGCTGGCAGTTTATAATGGATTCCATTATTTTGGAGAACAAGGAGGTGATGGCAATAGGCCTGTAGTTGGACGGGTCTGAGCGGTCGCCTTTTTTAGGGATCGGGTGGACCAAAGCTGTCTTCCATGAATTCGGGACTACGCCTTGGGAGTAGGAGTATCGAAAAGACGCGTTAAAACCGGTGCCGACTCCGGAGCACACGTCTTCAGCACAATGGGAGGGACTCCATCGGGCCCACTCGACTTGCTGACGTCCAGGGAGAAGAGTGCTTTGCGAACCGAGCGTTGTGTAAACCGTACATCCGGCATGGAGCACTCACATCGCGGGATGGTCGGCGGTGTGTTCCCCCCGTCATCTAGAGTCGAGTTGGACGCAAAAAGAGAGCTCAACAGATCGGCTTTCTCCTTTGCGGCATGGGCCAGTGAGTCGTCCTCCCTGTGAAGAGATGGAAGAGATGGCTGACAGAAGTTCCCTTGGACAGCCTTGGCGAGAGACCAAAATGCACGGGTTCCCGAAGGAAGGCGAACTAGTTTCTCGCCAATTCTGCCGATGTGCTTAGACCTTGCCTTGGCAATGACGCTTTTGAAGGACCTGGAGACGGAATCATACTTCTTTTTAAGTGCGCTATTATTATTATTATTATTTATACTTTATTGTACACCACAAAAAAAAAACGATAAAAAAGAACAAATTACAAGGAGTAAAACTTAAGAGGTAGGTACAATAAGGCGGTCTTATCGCTAATAAGCGATCTCTTCCAGACAACCTTAAGATTAGGAGAAAGTTGTTCTATTGGACAGTGGGAGGTGGTGTATATTATAGTAAACTTACATACTAATACCTAAATAAACTAAACTGATACATAATGAAAAAAATAATACACTAATATATACATTCAAAATATAATAGACATACATAAGATTAAGTAGGCAAATATACATAAAAATTAAATAAAAAAATACAGAGAGGATACAAAAAATACATGTCGCAAATGATGACCAGTAGTTAATGCACTGTTAGGTAGTAATTTTTGACGTCAGTCTTAAACTTTTCTAGTGTTTTCGCACGACGAATTTGCGAAGGAAGATCATTCCATAAGCAGATGGCCTTAACTGTGAAGGAGTTTTTAAAGTATTTAGTTCGATATGAATGTGGTGCGAGTATAAGTTCTCCGGCTGACCGTAGAACTCTGTCCGGTCTGTCATGACCAAGAAACTTAAAGTTTTCCTTTAGATAGCTAGGAGTCATTGGATCGAATAATACACAGTACAGAAGAGAAACAATTTGTAGGTTCCGGCGAAGGCGAATGGGTAACCACTTGAGCTTTAAACGGAATTCGGAGACATGGTCATATTTGCGCAAGCCAAATATGAACCTAATAGCCAGATTTTGAATACGCTCAAGTTTGTTTAGTTGATCTTCAGTTACATCAAGATAGCTTGCGCCCGCATAATCGAGAATAGAGAGGAGTAAAGCTTGTGCTAACATAATTTTAGTAGGAATGGGAAGGAAAGAACGTAAACGCCGCAATAAACCCATAGCAGCAAAAGTCTTTCTGCTAACTTCTTTCAATTGATGAGACCACGAGAAAGTAGTATCGAAGTGGATACCAAGATTTTTAACGGTGCTACTGTAAGGTATTACAACACCATTCAATACCACCGAGGGAAAGTTATTCCAGTCAACTCTTGAAATCATCCCAGCACCACCAACAATAATGGCCTGCGACTTACAAGGATTAACCTTAAGCCCATAGTATTTACTCCATTCGCTAATAGCCGCCAGGTCAGCATTGATGGCAGAAACAGCGGTAGGCAGGTTCTCAAGAGTTGACTGCGTATACACTTGAAGATCGTCTGCATACATGTGATAGAGAGAAGAAATTTTGTGACAGATCGAATTAATGAAGATAGCAAAGAGTAAAGGAGACAACACACCACCTTGAGGCACTCCAGCTGGTAGTTCACACCAAGATGAAAATTTATCTTCAACGCGAATACGCTGCCGGCGGCCCCTAAGATAACTTTGAAACCATCCAACCACTGATGGAGATATGTTAATGGAACGTAACAGGCTCAACAAGATATCAAAATCTACGGTATTGAAGGCATTGCTAAAATCTAATAATACCAACACAGTGAGCTGTTTATTATCCATACCTCGTCGAATATCGTCAGTAACTTTAACCAGAGCTGTAGTCGTACTATGACCTGACCGGAAACCGGATTGAACAGGATTTAAAAGGGAATTTCTATCTAGATATTGACATAATTGTTGAAAAACTAGTTTCTCTAGGACTTTAGATAGAAACGGAAGAATGGAAATTGGGCGAAAGTCGGTAAA